CGGGGTCATATTTTTCAGTCTGTCTTTGCTGCCGCTGATCTTCCCAGTCATCACAATGTTCTCCATTATTCTTTTTATCACATAAATATTTAAAACTATGAATAAACACACAAGTAAAAGTAAAATACAGAACCCTTTTCCAAGCCCTTAAGCGTATTGGGTATATAGCCCTGTATTTTATAGTACAATCAGCAGTTTGTGAGGGATGTGGCAGCATCCTGTCGGCTGCCTATACTTCCCAGGACTTTACTTGGTATCCACTTTAGGCTGGGTCAACCCGGGAGTCAAGGTCATTTTTTAATAAAAAATCTGATTTGATGCAGATTCGAACAGATGACCTTTGGACTCAAGGCGGGGGTCTAGCTGCTACACTACATAATAACCACAAAATGGAAAAAAAATGAACATAAACAGTAATAACAAATATGAGTCAACAATTGTGCCAATTTAAATAACACTATGCAAAGAACACCCAGAAAATGGAATATTCAAAAATTAAACAGAAATATGAATGCGTAAATAATACATAAATAAATAATTACATTTTAATATGAATGCATAAGGAACCCATAAATGGAAATAAAGAAGGAATCAAAAGAAATCTGAATACATAAAAAATGAACAAAGATAAAAAAAGGTTTAAATTATTAAAAGAATGACTTCACTGCAGTTAGATTTGGCCCAATATTTCTCTCTACAGAGTGTCTGCCGGCTTGCTGAGAGCACAAAGCATCAATTCCAGACCTCCAGTGATGATCTACATGGACACCACAATAACTGCACATGGACTTAAAGACATATTCTAAAAATAAATCGATGAGCTTACAAGTGTGAAACAGATGGCTTGACCATTTCACCACAGGGATTGATGACAAGATGAAGAATGAACAGAAGTGTGAAAATGTAATGGATGAACAGAACTATAAATTCACAAGGAATAAACTGACACAAATTCACAAGTAATAAACAGACACACAAATTCACAAGTAATAAACAGGCACACAAATGAGCAAGGAATAAACAGGCACATAAATGAGCAAGGAATAAACAGGCACATAAATGAGCAAGGAATAAACAGGCACATAAATGAGCAAGCGATAAACAGGCACATAAATGAGCAAGCGATAAACAGGCACATAATGAGCAAGCGATAAACAGGCACATAATGAGCCAGCGATAAACAGGCACATAATGAGCAAGCGATAAACAGGCACATAAATGAGCAAGCGATAAACAGGCACAAAAATGAGCAAACGATAAACAGGCACATAAATGAGCAAGCGATAAACAGGCACATAAATGAGCAAGCAATAAACAGGCACATAATGAGTAAGTGATAAACAGGCACATAAATGAGCAAGTAATAAACAGGCACATAAATGAGCAAGGAATAAACAGGCACATAATGAGCAAGTGATAAACAGGCACATAAATGAGCAAGGAATAAACAGGCACATAAATGAGCAAGGAATAAACAGGCACATAAATGAGCAAGGAATAAACAGGCACATAAATGAGCAAGGAATAAACAGGCACATAAATGAGCAAGTGATAAACAGGCACATAAATGAGCAAGGAATAAACAGGCACATAAATGAGCAAGTGATAAACAGGCACATAAATGAGCAAGGAATAAACAGGCACATAAATGAGCAAGTGATAAACAGGCACATAAATGAGCAAGGAATAAACAGGCACATAAATGAGCAAGTGATAAACAGGCACATAAATGAGCAAGGAATAAACAGGCACATAAATGAGCAAGGAATAAACAGGCACATAAATGAGCAAGGAATAAACAGGCACATAAATGAGCAAGCGATAAACAGGCACATAAATGAACCAGGAATAAACAGATAGGTACATGAACAAGTAATAAACAGCCATATAAATAAACAAGGAATAAACAGGCTCATAAATGAACCAGGAATAAACAGATAGGTACATGAACAAGTAATAAACAGACATATAAATAAACAAGGAATAAACAGGCACATAAATGAACCAGGAATAAACAGATAGGTACATGAACAAGTAATAAACAGACATATAAATAAACAAGGAATAAACAGGCACATAAATGAAGAAGAAATATACATAAATATAAATACGCAAGAAATAAAACATAAATATAAACACACAAAACAGAAAAGGAAATGAGAATATACAAGGAAAAATGGAAGTGTGAATACACAAAGGAAAATACACAGATGAAGACAAATTAGCCTCACACACAAAAAGTAGTAATGATCAATTACTGTGTGTAAGAAAATGGCTGATGAGTCCAATTTGGGTCTGGGAAGTTCTTGAACAGTGTGGACAGCAGATGGAAGCGATAGAAGAGGCAGGTATCGTCGCATAAGTCTTTCTAATCTGCCTCCATTTCTCTGCCAGTGCATTCTTCACTACCTAGCAGCCTGTTACACCAATCAGATCGGTCTTGTGCAACAGCCTCGCTTGTTACAGAGTTGTAAATACTCAAGAAATTAATATAAATGTATATACTTGAAAAAAAAAAAAAAGATAGAAATGTGAACATTTAAACAAACAAAAAACAAAAAATTGTGAATCAACATAGATAAAAAAAACCCACAGAAATCTGAATAGTCGAGGAAACAAGAGAAATGTGAACAGATTAGGAAACAACAGAAATGTGAACAGACAAGGAAACAACATGAATATGAACACACAAGGATAAATACAGAAATTAGAACAAACAAAGAAAAAACAGAAATAGCAATAGACAAGGAAAAAATGTGAATATACAAGAGAAAAACAAAAGTAAATAGACTAGGGAAAACAGAAATATGGATAGACAAGGAAAAACATATATGAATACATAAGAGAAAAACAGAAATGTGAGCATACTTGGAAAAATATAAATTTAATAATGCAAGGAATAAACTAAAATACACATTCATATCAGTTCGTGTGCCGACACTCCTCCATGCCATGCAACAAGACTGTCAAGCATCTTCTCTCGTTGTCTTCCTCTATCCCTCCTTCCACAGATCTTTCCAGTGGTCACAACATGTTCTATTTTCCCTCTTCTCATAACATGGACGAAAAATGATGACTGTCTCCTTCGGATGTCTGTGATAAGTTGTCTTCGGGCTCCCACCTCTTTCAAAAACTCTTGGTTGCTCTTTTTGGCTGTCCAAGGTATTCTAAGCATTCTTCTGTAAAACCACATCTCTGAGGCCTCTAGAAATTGTTTGACCTGCCTACCGATTGTCCAAGATTCACAGCCATATGTTAAAACTGGATGTATGTAGCAAGCAAAAATTCTTTTTCTAACTCTCAATGACAAGGATATATTGCACAAAATGTTTTTTTTAATTTTATAAAATGCAGTTTTTGCCTGTCCTATTCAGTTTCTTATCTCAGTTATGCATCTTCCATCTGATGTTATCCATGTGCCCAGATACTTAAATTTCTGTACTTGTCCTAAAATAACACCATCGACTTTTATTACACATTTAGGAATGATTCGTTTCTTTGATACCACCATTACTTCTGTCTTCCCATTATTCAAACTGAGGCCCATTCTTCCACTTTCTAACACACAATGTCTATCATTGCCTGTAGTTCTTTCTGACTTGTTGCTATCAAGACTGTGTCATCAGCATAACGTAAATTGTTTATATTGTGCCCACCAACCACATTTCCGGGCATATCAATTAAAGATCTCATTATATATTCACTGTATATTGAAAACAAATCAGGTGACAGTACACATCCTTGTCGTACGCCCCTCTTTATGCTTTGAAATGTACCTAAACAGTTGTTAATTCTTATAGCTGCTGTTTGCTGCCAATACATATTCTTTATTATTCGTAGATCTTTCCCATCAATGTTTAATTTTTCTAACATTTATAAGGAATTTAAAAACAATATATATATATATATATATATATATATATATATATATATATATATATATATATATATATATATATATATATATATATATATATATATATATATATATATATATATATATATATATATATATATATATATATATGAATACACAAGGAAAAACAGATATGTGAATACAAACTGGAAAAAAACCTCAGAAAAGTGAATACATAAGGGAAAAAACATAAATGTAAGTACACAGAGAAGAATAGAAATGTGAGTATACATCAAATAAATAAAAATATAAATAAACAGAAATGTGTATATGCAGACATAAATAATCAAAGTTATCAACAGTTCTCAAGCCTCACCGGACAAGGGGTGATTTGATTTTGACTAACCATGACTTTCTTGGGCAGCTTCTTAATTGACTGCTCCAGTCTCTTTTCATATAAAGACATCTCAGCTCGGCATATGAACACTTCAGCAGCAAAGAGGATTCTTACATTCACACCTACACACACTCTCTCTCTCTCTCTCTCATTCCATTTTTTCTCTCTCTCACATGCACATTATAATATTTTATGTGTGTTTGTGTGGGCAGGGGTGGGTTGTTAACTAAAGCTGAATTTAGGACTGGATAGTGGCCCATTTAATCTGCCCTGTTCAACTTCTAACAGCAACATGTACAAGGGTCCTCAGAGTTCTCTGTCCTTAACTGAGAAAACCAGACATCCCATCCAAAACCTTTAATTCAAAGGGTAGTAGAATATTATTTTCTCATTTTATATAAAATCTGCACAGCAGAGAACATGAAACAAACCATTCTGTATGGACCAGAGATGGATATCAAAAGTTATATGCCACTTAGCCATTTGATTTATGAGTAACCTGTATTTGTGGGATCAAAGATCTGAATAGACTAAACAAAGAACCAATTGATATGTAAATGAGCACAACATATACATTTGAGCATGAAAAGGTTATGAAGAATTGCTGGTGAGAACATAAATGTCAAAACTTCAGCAGCATCTGACGATCGCACATTTTCTAGCCGGCGATCTCCAAAACTAGAACTTATTGGTGAGACAGGAATTCTGGGAGTTGCTGTAAGGTCAAGGTCATGACCTGCTTCTGTTTTACAGAGTGACTGCCCATGGCTTGTATGTCTTGGGATCAATTCTAGGAAACTGAAATCAGAAACACCATCAAGTTATCAAGTTACTGCTATTACTGTCTCTGCTTGTCTTGACCATTCATTCTCATGTATAAAGTGTGAGAGTGTGTGTGAGAGAGAGAGAGAGAGAGAGTGAGAGTGAAGTGAGAAAGAGTGAGAGAGAAAGAGTGAGAGAGTGAGACAGTGAGTGAGAGAGAGAGAGTGAGTGAGTGAGTGTATGTGTGTGTGTGAGAGAGAGAGAGAGAGAGAGCGTGCAAATACAGGTGTGTACACACATCTGTGTGTGTTTATGTAAGATAGTTACACTTTCTTTACAGGATGCTGCTAACTAAACCCACCATTTGTTAGCTGCTGATTATGATTTTACTACCTCACTTTGTGTTCAGTAGTTTGCCACTGCTAAACGCTCCATAAGATTAACCAAATTAATAAAAATCTCCCTGTGTGTGTTCCAGGACTCTCCTTTGGTAGAAAGAAGTAATGACCCACTGATCTCTAAACAAGCATGTTGTAGAAGGCAAATAGTGTTTCTCTCAAAGTCAAGAGTGCATCTGCCTGACAGGCAAGGAAGCAACAGTCTGCACACATATAAGCCAGATCTGTAAAATGAATAAGCATGCAACACTCAAGTCCTGGAACAAGACCAAAATTCAGAAGTGGACAAACAACCAGAAGATTCCATTGGAGCTTACAGCAGGTGAACATTAAGGTGAAAAGAAGAGGAACAAAAAGCAGTTTGCTACCTGCCAGTGTGAGTTCGGGACCCTATTGTAGGGACAAGAATATACCCACTACCTCCCCAACAGGCATGTCGTAGGAGTCAACTACCTGGGGACTTCCTTCGAAGTCAGTGCATCTGCCTGAATAACAAAACTGTGTTCGTAATCCCTAAAGATTACATTTTTATTGAAAGATTAAGAGTAATGCTTCACCAAGACCCTGCCTAAATCTATGACATTATTTTTATGGGCCACAGATTCCAACTTTACTGACCACCCCGAGGAAAAAACTTACCTGTCAATACGCAGAAATCAGGAAAAATAATAATAAAACCTCATTAGATAACAGCCAGATCCATCACCACAAATATAACTGTAAAGCGCGGAAAGACAGCAACCCTCTCTGACCCTAGATTGAATGAGGTCATGGTAAAAATTGAATTGAATTGAAATTGAACTTTAAAGAAAGATAAAGGCTTCACTAGGACCATGCCTAAATTTACTGACACTAACCTTCTTGGCAAAGTCATCCTGGCATGCCATGCGGATGTCTGCCGGAAGAGCTGGACTGTTGAGCTGAAACTTTATGCTGGCTCCAGTATCTTGGCGTGCTGCTCGGATGGCTTCCTTGACCGCAAACAACGCTGAGCTTGCCAGCAACAGTGGAGGCTCCCCAACAGCCTGACAATGTGCAGTATTTAAATGAGGTACACATTTATGATGTGTGAAGATCTGTGGTGTGCATGATACTGTAGTGTCTGTGAATTACTGTCATAAATGAAGTGCTACTATGTGTAAAATGCTGGGCTGTGTGAAGTACTGTGATGTGTTTATTACTGTGATATATGATGTACTCTGATGTGGGAAGTTCTGTGATGTGAATTACTATGATATATGGAATTTACTGTGATGTGGGAAGCCCTGTGATGTGAAGTACAGTAATCTATGAAGTACTGTGATCTGTGAAGTACTGTGAAGTGAGAAGTACTGTGGCGTGAGAAGTACTGTGATGTGTATAGTACCCTAAAATGTGAAGTACTGTGATGTGTAATATACTTTGATGTGGGAAGTACTGTGATGTGGGAAGTACTGTGATGTGAAGAACTGGATCTATAAAGTACTGTGATATGTGAAGTACTCTGAAGTGAGAAATACTGTGAAGTACTGCAATATGTGAAGCACTGTGATTTGGGAAGTATTGTGATGTGGGAGGTACTGTGATGTTGGAAGTACTATGATGTCTGAAGTACTTTGAGGTAAGAAGTACTGTGATGTATAGGAAGTATTGTGATGTGGGAAAGCAATGTGATGTGTGAAAGCAATGTGATGTGTGAAGTTATGTGATATACAGGATGTACTGTGATGTGTGAAGTACTGTGATATGCAGTAATTATTGTGATGTGTGAAGTACTGTGATGTCTGAAGTACTGTGATGTGTGAAGTACTGCAATATATAGGAAGTATTGTGATGTGTAAAGTACTGTGATATACAGGAAGTACTGTGATGTGTGAAGTACTATGATATATGAAGTACTGTACATGCTAGATGATAATGACTTCCACACTTTTTCAAATGACAACAGAGATTCAAAGAATGCACATAGCTGTACACAAAACAACCCCACATTTCCCCCAAATTTTGCTTAACCTGAAGGCTGATTTAACACTTCGCTCAAAATATTCATATGTTTACATAATCTGATACATGTTCATAAATGTTCACACATGTTCATTCACTATCACACATGTTCATACACCCTCACATATTTTCATACATTCTCAGAAATGTTCAAACACTCTCACACATGAATATATATAATCTAAGACAAGATCATATGCTCTCAGACATGTTCATACACTCTCACACATGAATATATAATCTCACATGATCATATGCTCTCAGACATGTTCATAAACTCTCACACATAATCACATACTCTAACACAAGATCATATGCTCTCAGACATGTTCATAAACTCTCACACATAATCACATACTCTAACAAATAATCATATGCTCTCAGACATGTTCATAAACTCTCACACATAATCACATACTCTAACACATGATCATATGCTCTCAGACATGTTCATAAACTCTCACACATAATCACATACTCTAACACATGATCATATGCTCTCAGACATGTTCATAAACTCTCACACATAATCACATACTCTAACACAAGATCATATACTCTCAGACATGTTCATAAACTCTCACACATAATCACATACTCTAACACATGATCATATGCTCTCAGACATGTTCATAAACTCTCACACATAATCACATACTCTAACACAAGATCATATACTCTCAGACATGTTCATAAACTCTCACACATAATCACATACTCTAACACATGATCAAATACTCTCAGACATGTTCATACACCTTAACACACGAGGATACACTCTCACTCATGTTATACATTCAAACATGTTCACACTTTCACACATGTTCATACACCCTCATACATGTTCATAAACTCTCACACATGATCATACACACTCAATTTCATAATATGCACACACGTTCTATACTCCTTACCATGTTTTCATATATTCTTACACATGTTCACAAACACGTGTCAATACATACATGTTCATTTATTCTTACACATGTTCATTCTCTTACATTTGTTCAGACAATTCTCTAAAACTGTTCACAAACTCTCTCACATATATTCATGCATACTCTCACTCTCCCACACATGATCCCCTCTTGCCCACACCGACTCACCCTGGAAGCAAATATAGCGTTGGGGTTGGGACTGTCAGGCACCAGGTGGACGTTAAACTCGGCAGGAATGTTTCCGAAGGCAGGGATCTTGTAGTTTCCTGGGCCACGTGTCAGATGGGAGCCATCAGGTGTCACTTTCACATCCTCCAACAGATGGAGGCCGTAACCCTGTCATTGTAATACAGCTCATATTTGAAACAAGACACCTGGCATATGGTCAAGTTATTTGCCTCATGTTCTGAAGATTGTGGGTTTGCTTCATGGATGTGTCATTCAGTTCATGAATGCAGTTTTTACAGTGCTCCCGGGTGACTGTTGCTGAAGCTACAGAGTTTGTGCTGTGTAAAGTGGTCTTGGCAGGTGACTAACCATTCTACAGAGAGATACTTTTTTTTTTCTTAGCATTAGCTGGCTGTTAACTCTGGTGGGAAGTTCTGGTTGTTTGTCCACTTGTGGACTTTAGTCTTATTCCAGAATTTGTGACTTTTGCGTGCGCATCCATTTTATAAATCTAGCTTATTCATTTGCAGACTGCTGGTCCCTCACCTCTCAGGGAGATATACTCCAACTTTGAAGGAAAGACCCATAATTAGTACACTTTTACAACATCCTTGTAAACTCTGGTGGAAAGTTCTGGTTGTTTGTCCACTTGTAGACTTAAGTCTTATTCCAGAATTTGACTTTTGCATGCGCATCCATTTTATAAATCTAGCTTATTCATCTACAGACTGCTGGTCCCTCACGTCTTAGGAAGATACACTTCAACTTCCAAGGAAAGACCCACATAATTAGTCAACTTTTTACATTCTTGTTAGGCCGGCTGGGGGTCTATTATCAAACCCCCCTCCCACCCCACCCAAACCCACAATGAGACTCAGGAGAAATCCAACCCAAGTGGGGAAGAGAGACACTGAGCCACTGGGATGGCACAGTGCAATAAAGTCAATCTTCTCAACTTTAACTTTCACCAGCAGGATGTGACAAGCTGTAATGTTTATAGTATGGAAAGTTGACATTTTTTATTTTCGTTTACTTCCCATCTTTTATAGGATGAAATTTTTCGTTATTTGAAGCCCTACTCTGGCTTTTGCCAGGGGCCGCATTATAGCCTGGCCATAAATATGGCCTAAAGGCTGAACGGGGTTTCTGGGACCTCTCCACGGTGATCCTCACCCGCATGGTGGCACTTGTGTCATCGGGTGTTTATCGCTTGTGTGATGTCTTGGTGGGGTAGAAAGTCAGTCATTTTTTTTTAGTGCAACTATTACTGTGCTTCTGAAGCTACACTCACGCAGTTTTTAGTGTGCTTATTTATCAAGGTATATGTTCTGGGTTCAATGCCTAGAAGGTGACAGAATACTGATTTAAGAATCAGCATCTTAGCACTCTGGGCAGACTCATGGATGCTTTGTTCCCCGCAGCAAAAGTCTTAAAGTTTTGATGTTAACTGTTCCTGTAGGACACCTAATTCCTCAATCAGACATTCTTACACAGGCTATTTCATCTAATCTTGTGTCTTCTGTCAGAAATCCTTCATACATGGTCTTCAGGATGTTACCTTTGTTTAGAATGAGTGGTACCAGAGTCATGGCTATTGTAGCCAGCAAATCCTATCTTTCATTTCTTCACACTCCTGCATATCCTGGATCATATATCCATGTGTCCCTCTAATTCTGATGTGCACAGATAGCCATTCTGGGGCGATAGACTGAGCAGTGACAGAATAATGTTTTCCTGAAAGTATGGCTAGGAGCAGCAGCATATGATGCTTGACTCATAATTATACAGACCAATTGATATTCGGTTATTTTTGTGGTCAACAACATGCTAGATGCCCTTAATTCCCAGGAATTTTACCTGGGATACATTTTTTTAAAGCTGGGTGGAACTGGAACCAATTTTCCTCTTCCAAATCCACCAGGTGTGCATTCGAACCAAACACCATCAGGTTGGCAGGTGAGCACTTAGCCACTCCACTAATACAACTCCTAGAAGCCTGTAGGCTGAATCTGACCCACAGAGGCCTAGTAAGCCGCCTGCGAATCATTGCCGACTGTATTTTATTATTAATCTTTCTACATTGGGGCGCAGACTTCTGGCCCAGGACTACACCTATTTTCAACATTTGGGCCCTTAAATAAATTAGCTGAATAGATCTGATATACAGCAAGGAAAAATATATATTTACCTGAGACTGAATGATGATGGAGAAGCAGAAAGAAAGATGAAATTCTAACTACTCATGTTCCTGAACAGGAAACACATATCTTAAACTTGCTTCACTGTGCTGAGTTGCCAGCAAAGACAATACACCTGAGCTAATGCAGCTACTCATGTTCCCGAACAAGGAACACATATCTTAAACTTGCTTCACTGTGTTGAGTTGCCAGCAAAGACAATACACCTGAGCTAATGCAGCTACTCATGTTCCCAAACAGGGAACACATATCTTAAACTTGCTTCACTGTGTTGAGTTGCCAGCAAAGACAATACACCTGAGCTAATGCAGCTACTCATGTTCCCAAACAGGGAACACATATCTTAAACTTGCTTCACTGTTTTGAGACTGTTGAATTGCCAGAAAAGACAACATACCTGAGCAAATGCTCCTTCTATCTGTCCAACATCAATGGCGGGGTTGACGCTGTTTCCAACATCCATGACGATGTCTGTACGCAGCAGCTAGGATGAGAATACACACTAGTAGGTAAAAGGCTATACAAATATACATATATACCTCCTTGCTTTATAAGTGTGTGTGTATATATGTATGTATATCTATATATGTGTATATTTCCGTTGAGTCAAGAGGTGAAGAAAAGATGCTGGTGTTGTTAGTGTATTGCATGTGGGTGTGTATGTGCACATGTTTTGTGTGTGTGCATGTGTTTTAAACAGGTAATACTGTCAAGGACCTTGTATCTATATTACCTAATTACAGCTCGTTGTACGGCCCTGTGACAGACACACTACACTAGAACACACCTAAAACACACACCTGTTGAGTACACACATAATCTTTAATGCACAAAGAGACTTTCAGCTTATAGCAACCTCCACAGTTATGGACAGTCCTTACTCCAAAACGCCAGCAATGGCAGCATTTATATTTACTAAACCACCCCGAGCCATCCTCATGGATGTACCAGAGGACACTATTCCACCTCACTGTCGTGCAGCGCTAACTAGGCTGCAATCTTCGCCATGCGAGACTCAGTGGCACACGCAGGGTGAGTGGTTCAAGTATTAGCGGGCAATTTGAATGTCAACGCCAGCACAAAACGCAGCTAACCCCTAATAACCCAGAGACAAGAACACCTACCTAAGCATGATACAACCCCAACACAACTGTCTTAGCATACTATAAGCACACGAGGAATACCAACAGCTAACCAACACATATGACAACAACTCTAACATAACCTATCTTTCAATTCCTAACAAAATAAATCTATCACGTCTCTAAATGTCTTCAGCCTCACACGTCCATTCTAACCGCTCTCCTTCTCTCCCCGTTCAGCTTCGGGTAAAACATGTGCGTTGCACCAGTGTTCAAGCCATCTCGGGTTTTCCCCATATCGTCAATTCAACTGGCTGACCGCTGGTGCACTTTTTGGTCCGTCAAACACAAACATGAAATTACACGTGGTATTGTCTATACTCTGTCCCACAGGGCTATGACAAATGCTAGTAAATAAGTTTATAAATGTAACAAATGAAAGCAATGCTTTATAGCTATTGTGTCTCGAAAGCAGTATCCATGGGGTCTCTGTGGGTATATGGTCACCTGTTTCACATTGTGGCTGTGGGTTCATTTCACAGAGTGCAACGTTGAGTTTATGAGTGCAATTTTTATGGAGAACCCAGGGAATAGTTGCCGGAACTTTGGAGTTTGTGCTTTGTGCGACCCCTCTGGCAGAGGGATATCCATTCTGCAGAGAGAGATTGAGACTGAGAGCATATGGGACGAAACTGGGTGCAATAAATTTGATATCTCCACAACTGCCGATCCCAAGCCCGAATGAGAAAGGAGGAGGGTTGGGCATGGGAGCCAGTTCTCTCACCCTGTAAACATTATTTGTTACAAATATTCAGAGGAACATAAGACATTTCCAGTCAACAAATAAGTAAAGTGATGTATGGTGCATACAGTGCATGTAGGACAAAGATGGAACTATGCAGGACATATTCTGAAAAGAGACAAACAGAGAGTCGCCAATAAGGCACTATAAAGGGAAATTAGGAAACTGAGGATACGAGGACGCTCAAGAGAAACTCTAAAGTGAATGATGATGAGCGAAGCCAAAGATGCCAGACTTGATTCCGTCCATGATATTGAAGTGACTGCACAGGATACATGAGAAATAAACATATAATGGCACAACAGGAAAACGAGTGGATGAATGAAGTTGATTCTATGGATCTAGATGACCTCATAACATTTGTAGGACAAGACATTGAGTTAGTTACCTTATGATCTCCAGTGAGACAATCTATCTGTACTTCCGTACATGCTGTTCCAAATGTGTAATATGCGTACGGTCTTCCTGTCTGGGTATCCATGTCATAGCCGACATTTGGCGTGCTGGCAAGATGAATTTTACGCATCAAATAAAAATATAAATTTTAGAAATTAACAACCCAATAATATTCTCTAATATAAGCTTGTGTGGGTTTTGGGATTCCATTATGGTGATGGAATTGTTGTTGTTGTTGTTGTTGTTGTTGTTGTTGTTGCTAGTATTCATTGCAATCTAAGTCTTACTGCAGTTAGCATAATTTCATTTGGTAAAGGAACCTTTAGTCGGCTCTGTGGCTAAGTCGATGCGAACGCTTCGTAATGCCGGGATGCCGGGTTCAATCCCAGCTGCGGGCCATGCGCCTTGCGTTCGACAGTGGTATAAAGAAAGTTGACCGTCCAGAAAGCAATGGTAAACTACTGGACGTAAAGTTGCCTAGAAAAACCACACAATAGCCAGGGACTGTTGGGGTTGGTTCTGCAGCGACCTGTAAAGGATACGCAACTAACCTCAAAGGAACCTTTACCACGTCTTTGGGTGTATTGGGTATGCAGGGCTAAACTTATATTTTTTGGATCAAGGTGATGTGGTCAGCATCACGCCCGCACCTTTACTTCCCAGGACTGTATGTGCTACCCATTCAAGGCCGGGTCGTCGACCTGGGAGCCAGGGTAATTTTTGAAAAAAGTCAAGAACCGAACCCATGATCTTCCGATCCACAGGCGAGCGTCTAGCCGCTAAACCACAGTGCTTCCCCAAAATTTCATTTGACTGTCTAATTTGTAAGAGATAGATAAAAACTGCATACACAAAAGAGTTGAACTGGGGTAGACCATGAGACAGTTAAAGAAGAAGGTGGGAGATAACGTAAAGGCCCGCCCACAGAGATATTCTGAGTCACCAAGTGAAAAAAGAGAAAGCTAGTCACAGAAATGAATGGATAAGGCTGATATCTGTAGCAATGAATCCCAAGGACTAGGAATACTGAAGAGAAAGAGGAGGAGGGGCAGCAGCAGCAGTAGTTAGGAGCAGCAGCAGAAGGGAAAGAAGTAGCTCTAATTTTTAATGATGTATTTGCTTTCTGATTTCATTCTCACTTTATATATGTTACAAACAGTTATGAGTGGTGTATTAATTATTTGTAAAATATACTCAAAGAGACAAATACTCCTTAACTCTTTGAGTCCCAGAGGGTTTAGCATCACAGGCCCAAGGGGTAGTCAAAAGAGACGTCAAATTGGCGCATCATGTGTTCATTGGGCTTCTAGGCAGTAACCTATGAACGTATGATGCGTTCCTTGGGACTCAAAGAGTTAAAAAAAAGGCATACATACACATTTCAAAACTGTAAAAGGAACTTACGCATAAAATCCAGTTGTAGATAAACTCACTGAGTCCATGTAGGCAGCATGAACCTGCAGAAGCATAGGAGATGTGACAAACTACTATAAGATGAAACCACAGGGGCACAGAAATAAAGGAAGAAAAAAAAACACATGGAGAAGGCATCAGCGACTGGGTCGAACATTGGCTAACCGGTCGGGACAGTATTTGGGTCTGATTGAGACAGTATTTGGGTCTGGTCGAAACAGTATTTGGGTCTGGTCGAGACAATATTTGGGTCTGGTCGGGACGGTATTTGGGTCTGCCTCCTTTGATTACATCAACACTGCAGGAGTTCTTTCCAGGGCTCTTAGTGGCGAGCAATGCTAAGCCATTTTATATGGTGCACATAACCTAGTCACAATTATAACCTAAAGCTCCTCCTCCAAGGATGCTGGTTGAGTGTGAAGATTTTTTCCAGCAAAGCATCTACCTACCTACACATAGAAGGGAGCTAGAGAGGCAAGGAGAAAGGTTGGAGAGGAAGTGGGGAGAGCTGCGTGCGATGGCAAAGGACAGAACGATGTGGTGTGAGCTAGCTGAGGGCCTTTGCTCTAATGGGGGTTATAAGGTAGAAGAAGAAGTTCAAGATATTCATCAACTTATTCATCAACTTACTCAGTATTGAGAGCAAACCCCCTAAAAACATGTTGTAGTGGTTTGCTGAAAATGGATGTGCTGGACTGAAAGGTAAAGATGTTGCAGCCTAGCTGTAAACCACAACACAAAATGCACACATAGAAAAAGAAGAATCATGTGCATGCTGAAGAACTTATTACCACTTATACATATTGAAACTGCAACAGGGATTGTATTCTTTTTCTTCCTAGATAAACTCCAGAGGAAAATTATGTTTGTTTATCCACTCCTGGGCTGTAGTTTGAATTTGAGTTCTGCATGTACATCTATTTTACACATCTGGCTTATCTGTATGCAGACTGTTGGTTCCTAGCCCCTCTGGCAGATGCAATCTGGCTTTGACGTCACCTTCTACGACATGCTTGTTGCAAGGCAGTGTGCCTTCTTTGTACTCTGAAATGGAGCCCTGGAACCCCACACGTGGAGGATTGCATTCTAAAGTTGGAAAGGGAGAGAGAGAAAGACACAGAGAGAGAGAGAGAGAGAGAGAGAGAGAGAGAGAGAGAGAGAGAGAGTGGGTGTGTGTGAGAGAGAGAGAGAAAGAGATTGCGAGGGAGAGTGAGAGAGTGAGAGAGTGAGTGAGTGAGTGAGTAAGTGACTGAGTGAGTGTGTGTGTATGTGTGGGTGTGTGTGAGTGAGTGTGTGTGGGAGTGTGTGTCAGTGTGTGTAAATAATATGGACTACTAGAATTTGATCTGCAGCTCCTCGGGGTATCTGTGGACCATCTTCTTCTTTCGTTCACTTAAAATAGATAATCTATGCAATGTTGTCTCTAATATGAACTACACTGTCTTTTGTAATTCACTCAGCGACCCGTAAAGTTTGACTTGCACCGATGTTTCTCTTGGCCAAAGGTTTTGCCTTGACATGTTGTATTTGGGACAGTCTTGGAGAACATGATCTGTTGTCTTAAGTGCTAATCCACATGTGCACATGGCTGATTCGCTGATTTTAAATTCTGTGTACATGCGGCTGCGAAGTTGACTGTGTCCTGTTCTAAGGCATAGGATAATAACTTGCTCTGGTCTGTCAATAAAATGGTACTTATCTTGTGCCGGTTCTGGTGGCTTTCTGATTGATTTGATTATTCTCTTCTTTTGTGGACTATCAAATGAGAAACACTGTTACAGAGGATTCTTTAACAAACAGCCTGACAAGCAATGAAGCCAGCAGCTCACCAACAAACTAAGCAAGCAACCAAAACCACTAGCCAGCCAAGTGGTCTGTATACAGAAAGCTAAACGCGTATCCTATAAAGATTGCAGAACCAACCCCAGCTTTTTGTGGTTGTTTGTGATTTCACTAGGCATTGTTAAGTTTAGCAGTTTGCCATTACTTTCTAAATAGTAGACTCGATACCACTGTTGAAACTAATGCAAGGCAGTCTGCTGGGATTGAACCCAGCGCCTTGGTATTATGAAGCCGAAGTCACAGATACCCAACAACCTGTATATTAATCGCATGAAAAGGACATACTTTTTCTTCTAGCCTTTATCCCCACTGGAGCATAGGCCCCCAACCAACACACATCAAATCAACCTATCCTTTGCTTTTGCATGCAACTCACCCCATGTCCTCCCTATCTATGTAACTTCATTCTCTAGCTACCTTCTCCATGTGTTTTTGGTCTGCCCTTATTTAAAAGGCACACTACCCTACTGAAATCACTGCTGAATGTTAGAGTGCAAGAAGACGAGAACTGTTGAAATGTGAAGGTGACCTGAAATGATAGATGGGAAAGAGAGTACGACTAGACTGCACCATCTGGGTGAAAGGCAGGCAGTGTTCAAGATTCACTGCAGCAGACTTTTGTTGTGAAGATGGCCAGTGATTTTAGCTACAGACTACTTACCACTTCTTCCCACTGTGCATTTGGCATTTTCTGGAAGTAAGGCTTCAATCTTTCCTTTAGCACTTCACAGGCGTTCTAGATGGAGATAACACAGTCATATTTTAAAAATAAAGACTTTCTAAGTGGAAATAAAGTCAAATATTTTATACCACTAGCATTATAAAGATGGGAAAAAAAGGTCCTTTTCAATGCCTTCATGCCTACTGGGTATATAGTGCTAACCCATATATTATATAGACCAATCAGGATTTGATGGGTGATGTGGTCTACATCACGCCAGCCACCTTTACTTCCCAGGACTTTTGCTGCTACCTATTTAAGGCTGGGTGGATCTGGCAGCCATGTCTGTTTATTATATATACAATATTTCTAGTCTCAAGGGTTCCCCCTCTGTTTATTTATGTGAATGACGTGTGTCACAATGGAATCTACCAATCAAATCTCTTTCTGAAATGTTCATGTATTCTAGACAAAGCATTAGGGTCTGTTGTGTTTTTAAATTGTTGCTGTGTTTGTTATTCAACCTATGTTTGATTAATACATATTTCTGAAACCTATGGTGCCATTTCAATGGTTTGAGATGAAGTCATTTTCTTAGTTTACTTGTTTCCATAGTGAGGCGTGTCTGGAGGTGACAGGTTCAATTCCGGGCTGGTAATTATAGCTTTTGATTTGTATGTTGTTAAGTGTGTCCTTCTACTTCTTTCTATGAGTGCCAATAAATACATTGTATTTTTATTATTTATACACCTTTTTAAGGCATATCATTTCAGTTCTACTATAATAGACACTTTGTTGTGAGTATCAGCATGTTTTTGTGCACTTTGTACTGAGTACTGGCACCTATTTTCTAATTAAAAAAACAAATAAAATGCCTGGTTAAGAATAAAGAATAATTTAACTTGAGAGTTAGCTGAAAGAGGACATACCTTGACAGCCATTCCATTGACATCTGTGCCTACACTCGCTGCAGTTGGCGAAGTGTTTGGAACCGCATTTGTGGCTGTTTCACTGATGTGAATAAGTGAGAGGGGGATCTCTAGGACTTCACTGGCAATCTGAAATTGCAGAAAGACTACTGCCATCTTATCATAACACAGTACTGTTTTTTAAAGAAAGGATAAGACTTAAATCAGAAAAGTATCATAGATTTTTGGTCCAGAAAATGCTGGTGTGCGGGGTTATGAGCAGGCCGATAGACTGGCTGCTGCTGTCCTCTGGAAAGTTAGTTATTTTATTAATAAAAGATGTGGCGAAGGTTCTCTGCGAATAAGATGGGGGTAGGCGTTCTAGACGATTTTCACAAGGGGGGGGGGGGAGGGAGGAGCAGGTGTTTTGGACAATTTTCAGTGATAGGAGGTAGGTGTTCTGGACAATTTTCAAAGATTAGGGGGGAGGAGGGCGTTCTGGAGAATTGTTAAAGGTGGGGGATAGGCGTTCTGGGTGATTTTCAGAGATTTGGTTGTTAGGGGAGGGGGGGGCCATTATAGACAATTTTCACAGATAAGGGGAGTTGGAAAATATATATACTTTTTATCAGGTTACAACTGGCACTATTAGCATGAGAATTCTTCAAATGGCTACTGAGGAAGGAGACTGAGTAAGTGCAGGAATGTCCCAAGTGCAGTTATGTCAATACAAGATTCAATAATTCTTTGTCTTCTTAGTGTTCACCGGCTGTCAACTCTGGCGGAGAGTTCTGGTTAACCATCAGCTTCTAGACTTTGGTCTTCTTGTAGAAACTTGAATGTTAGGTGCACATCCTTTTACACATTTGGCTTATTTGTATGCAGACTATCGTGTGTTTTTTCCACCTCTCAGGCAGATGCACTCCAACTTCAAAGAAACACCCTTAATTAGTCGACTTTTATGACATACTTTTTAGAGGGGCAGTGGGTTATGACATACATCTTACAGGGGCAGTGAATTATGACATACTTCTTACAAGGGCAGTGAATTATGACATACTTCTTACAGAGGCAGTGAATTATGACATACTTCTTACAAGGGCAGTGAATTATGACATACTTCTTACAGTGGCAGTGGGTTATGACATACTTCTTACAAGGGCAGTGAATTATGACATACTTTTTACAGTGGCAGTGGGTTATGACATTCATCTTACAAGGGCAGTGGGTTATGACATACATCTTAGAGAGGCAGTGGGTTATGACATACATCTTACAGGGGCAGTGGGTTATGACATACATCTTACAGGGGCATTGGGTTATGACATACATCTTACAGGGGCAGTGGGTTATGACATACATCTTACAGGGGCAGTGGGTTATGACATACATATTAGAGAGTCAGTGGGTTATGACATACATCTTAGAATGGCAGTGGGTTATGACATACATCTTACAGGGGCAGTGGGTTATGACATACATGTTACCGGGGCATTGGGTTATGACATACATATTACAGGGGTAGTGGGTTATGACATACATCTTACAGGGGCAGTGGGTTATGACATACTTATTACAGGGGTAGTGGGTTATGACATACATCTTACAGGGGCAGTGGGTTATGACATACATCTTACAGGGGCACTGGGTTATGACATACATCTTACAGGGGCAGTGGGTTATGACATACATATTAGAGAGTCAGTGGGTTATGACATACATCTTAGAGGGGTAGTGGGTTATGACATACATCTTAGAGGAGCAGAGGGTTATGCCATACATCTTACAGGGGCAGTGGGTTATGACATACATCTTACAGGGGCATTGGGTTATGACATACATCTTACAGGGGCAGTGGATTATGACATACATCTTACAGGGGCAGTGGGTTATGACATACATCTTACAGGGGCATTGGGTTATGACATACATCTTACAGGGGCATTGGGTTATGACATACATCTTACAGGGGCAGTGGATTATGACATACATCTTACATTGGCAGTGGGTTATGACATACATCTTACAGGGGCAGTGGGTTATGACATACATCTTACAGGGGCAGTGGGTTATGACATACTTATTAGAGAGGCAGTGGTTTATGACATACTTCTTAGAGGGGTAGTGGGTTATGACATACATCTTAGAGGGGAAGTGGGTTATGACATACATCTTAGAATGGCAGTGGGTTATGACATACATCTTACAGGGGCAGTGGGTTATGACATACATCTTACAGGGGCATTGGGTTATGACATACATATTACAGGGGCAGTGGGTTATGACATACATCTTACAGGGGCAGTGGGTTATGACATACATGTTACAGGGGCATTGGGTTATGACATACATATTACAGGGGCAGTGGGTTATGACATACATCTTACAGGGGCAGTGGGTTATGACATACTTATTACAGGGGTAGTGGGTTATGACATACATCTTACAGGGGCAGTGGGTTATGACATACATCTTACAGGGGCACTGGGTTATGACATACATCTTACAGGGGCAGTGGGTTATGACATACATATTAGAGAGTCAGTGGGTTATGACATACATCTTAGAGGGGTAGTGGGTTATGACATACATCTTAGAGGAGCAGAGGGTTATGCCATACATCTTACAGGGGCAGTGGGTTATGACATACATCTTACAGGGGCAGTGGGTTATGACATACATCTTACAGGGGCAGTGGATTATGACATACATCTTACAGGGGCTGTGGGTTATGACATACATCTTACAGGGGCAAAGGGTTATGACATACATCTTACAGGGGCATTGGGTTATGACATACATCTTACAGTGGCAGTGGGTTATGACATACATCTTACAGGGGCAGTGGGTTATGACATACATCTTACAGGGGCAGTGGGTTATGACATACTTATTAGAGAGGCAGTGGTTTATGACATACTTCTTAGAGGGGTAGTGGGTTATGACATACATCTTAGAGGGGAAGTGGTTTATGACATACATCTTACAGGGGCAGTGGGTTATGACATACTTCTTAGAGAGGCAGTGGGTTATGACATACATCTTACAGGGGAAGTGGTTTATGACATACTTCTTAGAGAGGCAGTGGGTTATGACATACATCTTAGAGGGGCAGTGCATCTCTTCTCCCCCACCCCTCGAAATGGGGCTCCAGAACCCATGGGGGAGATGAGTCTTTAATAGTTTGTGGCCTCGGTTACACATTATCCTAGGCTGTACCTTGCCCACATCTTGATATTTTTTTTTATGTCTCAGACACTGCTTGAAAAGACTCTGGAGCATATCAATGATTGTATTCCAGGATATACAAGTGTACAGAGCACACAGCATAATGATAGATTGGCTGCTGCTGTTCATCTTGGGTAGATAGTAACAAAGCAAACAACAAATGAGTAGAAGAAGAAGACAAAGAAAAAGTGGAGGAGAAAGAAGAAGAGTGGAGGAGAAAAAAGAAGAAAAGAAGAAGAAGAAGAAGAAGAAGAAGAAGAAGAAGAAGAAGAAGAAATAGAAGAAGAAGAAGAAGAAGAAGAAGAAGAAGAAGAAGAAGAAGAAGAAGAAGAAGAAGATTATGATGCGGAAGCAGAAGAGGAGGAGAAAAAGTACAAAAGAAAGACAAGTAAGAAGATGATGATTAATAATCACACCTGAGCCACTTTGACGTTAAGTCCTTGTCCCATTTCTGTGCCAGAGTGAGCCACAAGGACGTACCCATCTCTGTAGATGTGGACCAGAGCTCCTGCCTACAGAAATATAATAACTGTACGTACTCAGTAATCAGCTCATATACAACAATGAGAAAGAGACTGTTCTTTGGCCGCATAATGAGAAGAGAGACACTAGAGAACATCGTGACTACTGGAAAAAGGGGTAGAGGCAGACCAAGAGAGATGATGCTGGATGGGCTGAAACGATGGCATGGAGTGATATAATCAAGAGAGCTGTTCCAGGCAACCAGGGATTTCCTGTTACTATCTTCATTATTTCCTGAGAAAACAACTTTCTGATTGCCCCTACAATAATGATTAAAAATAATTGGAATAATAATGAGAAATAAAGTACACATAAATGTAAACACTAAATGTCTAATTTGCTGCGTGTAATTACCATATTTTTCCCTGTATAAAAACCCCCTTGTATAAGACGACCCCCATCAATTTTTTAGCCTAAAATGTTAAAAAAAAATTATATTTTTTGCTTCGATGTGTAAATCAACCCCTATAATTTTTTAATCCCAAAATTTAAAAACTAGTCAGACGGTTACTGGTACCTTCGGCACTGGAACTCTTTGCTTGCTGCTGAAGATGGAGACTGAGCACTTATGGGAGTGTCCCGAGTGCTGTGATATGGATTCTCAATTCAACATTCAATTTAAAAACTGTTTATATATTTTTTCAATCACATTCCAAGTATAAAACGACACTCATCATTTTTTGTGAGCCAAAAAATTTTTTAAATTTAAATTTACTTAAACACATTCCATGTCTAAGACGACCCAAATGATTTTGTTATAGTCCGAATAGAAAACAAAATTGTGTATTCCATTTATAAGACAACCCTCAATTTTAAACTTAAAAAAATTTGGGGAAAATATTGTCTTACATACATGGAATTGTTACTCCAGCACTGTCTACATCAAACTTTGTGTTTCTTAGAGAACATGTTTTTTTTTTTAAATAAAGGTCTTAATGCGTTACAGTATATAACTGGAATAAAAAGGGTTAAAGTAACAAGTAGGAAAAAACTGAAATAAAGCAAAACAAGAATAAGAGATGGGAATTTAAGAAATGTATACCAGCTGTTTACTTAAGAATACTAGGCCTTAATGTAAGGTGAGTTCCTTGGTACTAAAAGAGTTAATCACCCATGCTTAACTGTGTGCATACCTGATTCATGTGGCTCTGAAGAAAGGACACCCCAAACCTTACGGGACTTAAAGCAATCCCTTTCTTCTTCCACTGGTGATCTCTGAATATGAGACAAAAGCAACAGAACAGTTACATTTGTTCAAGACAACGTTTGCCTGGTGTGAAATTAAATAATGTGGACACAAGCAATTTTGAATGTCGAATTAAGAATCAACAGCATATCACTCAGGACACTCCCATAAGCGCTCCATCCCCATCTTCAGCAGCAAATGAAGAGTTTCAATTCCGATGGCACCACTAACTGTCTGATTGTATATCCGTCAATTGATGGCACCAGTAACTGTCTGATTGTATATCCGTCTCACTTTTCCCTTGAGTATTGAGCATCGGCCAGACCCCTGGCAACACCTCGCAGCGCCATTCTTCTCAGATCATAATGATCTATTTGCACTTCCGCACTGTTCACTCGCTCCCAGAGGGCCCTCACAACATGTAGCCTGTCATACATCAGTTCACCACCAAATGGTGCAGAACCGACCAGTCTATCTGCCTGCTCAATTCCCAATACACTGGCATAACCTGGAGAGAATATTGAAAGGATGCTAACTACCCAGGACCTCTGAAGTGATGCTTGCCACTCTGCACGGAGCATGCCTGTATCCACCTTTCTCAACATGCTCTGTGAGTCAGTTACAATCACGGCATGTGTGTACAGCTGATTCTCAAACCAGCGGAATGCAGCAGTGACTGCCTCCACCTCAATTCTCAAACTAGATGTTATGATAACACAAGCAATATGTTATACAATTTATTACAAGGTATATTTCACTGTATCTTATCAGACACACTAAAGAAGACAATGTTATGATGTGACTAATAATTAACTGTAACTGATATGGACTGAATTTGGCAGAACCTGTGACAATAAAAATTAACAATCCTTCATTGTGCAAACAAAAAGAGCTTGAGGTAATTTAAAAATGTAATAGTAAGTAAAGTAAAGGACCCTTTTCCACGCCTTTAGGCGTATAGGGCCAATAGGGCTAGACCTATATTTTTATAGACCAATAGGCACAAGATGGGTGATGTGGTTAGCATCACGCCGGCCATCTCTACTTCCCAGGACTGCACCCGGTACCCACTCAAGGCTGGGTCAAAAAGGTCGAGCCAGGTTCATTTTTGAAAAAAGTAATAAATTGTTACCACAAAATATGCCAGGTAATAAACTGTTACACACAAAATATGCCAGGTAATAAACTGTTACACACAAAATATACCAGGTAATAAATTGTTACACACAAAATATGCCAGGTAATAAACTGTTACACACAAAATATGCCAGGTAATAAACTGTTACATTTATATCAAATAACAAGACAACTGTAAAATGTTTCTTCTTCATTGTACACAAGAGGAAATACAGTGACTATGGACTGTATATATCTTAGGCTCTACCTGGTATGAGAATTGTGTACTGAATTGGTACAAGCTTTTCGTTTGGTGCTAAAAATAGAGATGGAGAGCTTGTGCGGGTATCCTGAGAGAGAGAGAGAGAGAGAGAGAGAGAGGGAGAGAGAGAGAGAGAGAGAGAGAGAGAGAGAGAGAGAGAGAGTGAGAGAGAATGACCAACCTGTTGTACTGGTCAACGTTCTCTTTGCGTACATAATACTGACTTCTCTCCAGACACATGTCCCAGCAACGCTGGATGTACTCGCCCTCGGCTGACATGCCGTAATGGGTTAAAGTCCCTGGTGGGAAAAAATTGACCTCCTGAACCTGATAAGAAAAAAATATGTTGTTTATAAATGAACTGCATTAATGTGAAAGCCAAACTGCAAAATTAAACCACATTCAGGGATCAGCAACTAATGTTGCATAGTTTAATGACTGCATTTCTCTCTTATCTTTTCAGGTGCATTATTAACAAGTTGCAACACCAACATACAATGAAGCATACAGAATAAAAAAAAATACTGCATTGTGCAAACAAAAAGCATATGGAAATGTCAAAAATCTGTGAGAACCACATATCTATCTTAAACTTCTGGTCATGGGATGTGCAGTGTAACTATACATATATATTTTTGAAATCATCATCATCATGTAGCAGGTCCTTTGCAGAACGTCACTCTTCTCAAAGTCTGCCTGAAAAAAACTTGGTCTCTCACCAGCTCTCCCACCTCGTGCACTTTCATATTCAAGGAGTCACTTATATCCTGTGCCCATCTTCATGTTGGTCGACCCCTGCCCCTCCTTCCTGGTACCATGCCTTTTGCTATTATTTTTTTCCAATCCACCATGGCGCTTGATTTGACCAAAATATTTCAGCCTTTGAGACAAGCTACTGTTTACTAGCCAATTTTCCCTGATGTTCACATCTTTTAGGATTTCAGTATTTCTTCTCTTCTTTGTCCAAAGTATTTTGAGAATCTTTCAATAGCGTTTCAGCTCAAAAGCCCCTACTTTCTTTATTAAGGACTGGAAGATAGGATACAACTCACTTACGTATGTTGCTGCAAGGAAGATGCATGCTCTCAAAATTTTAACTTTGATCTCCTTGCTGGTGCTTAACCATAGACTTTTAATACTGTTTATTTCTAAATATGACAGCAGATTTCAATCTAGCTGTTATCTCTCATTATAACAATTTCAGATCCACAGACACATCCCTGATGATTAGATCTATTTATAAGAAAAGTCTGAGGAACTACAGTGTTTTCCTAAAACTCAGCTTCCCCCCCCCCCCCCAACCCAGATACAAAATTCAACATTTATTCATGTACAAAATTCTACATTTATTCATGTACAACATTCTTCCTTTATTCATGTACAAAATTCTACATTTATTCATGCACAATATGCCATATTTATTCATGTACAAAATTCTACATTATTCATGTACAACATTCTACATTTATTCACGTACAACATTCTGATGTCATCTTCTTTTGGAACATCATTATAATTTTCCAAATCCCAAATTCCGGCCTGAATTTCTTGCATACTTGAATTATGAACCATATCTGCTTATTATCAAGTGCGTATCAGTGGCATCTGCACTTCAACTAACCATTCGGCAAAAAAGTATCTAATTCTGGCTGATGATCTTAAATAAAGCTAATTTTTGGGGAAACACCTTGAATACATGTAATGTCTAATACAGTGTTACCTGCTTTGTGCTTAAGGAAAGAAAACTGGCCATATCATCTAAGATTGACTGCATGATGAAATTTCCTTGAGGTGCACCAAAACCCCTGAAGGCTGTGTTGGACATGATGTTTGTACGACAGGCTCTACCAACAACCCGCATGTTGGGAATATAAGTTGAGGCATCTATGTCCATGATTGCTTTTTCCATCACCCAAAAGATAAAAAAAAAACAAAAAAACTATCACTAATAAACTACAAACATTCACTAACTAGTACCTGCATAGAACACAGGAAATTACAGGGTATTATAGAAACACTGTCGGCGTCTGTGGCTTAGGCGTTGCGAATGTGCTTTGTAATGCTGAGGTGCCGGGTTAAATCCCAGCTGCGGACGGTTTGTCTTGTGTTGGTTTCGACAGTGGTACCGAGAGCCGACCATCCAGAAAGCAATGGCAAACTACTGGATGTCAATATGCCTAGAAAAACCACCACAGCCCCAAAATGCTGGATTCGGTTCTGCAACGTTCTGTAAAGGATACGCAACTAACTTAACTATAGAATCACTAACACTGAGCTTTGGGAGAGAACTAAACAAATTCCAGTGAATCAAGAAGTTAAGAGAAGCTGATTCTGGATAGGATACACACTGAGAAAACTTAAGAACAATGTAACCATAATGTCTTTGCACTGGAACCAACAAGGACACAGAAATAAAGGCAGACCTA